TCACCTGCTTCACCATTCTGCCTGCGGGACCATCGATCGGGGCCTGGCCCCCTACCCCCCCTGCCCCCTTCCTCCCTGCCTGGCTCCTGTAATGCCTCCACAGCCGCCAGCTACAGCACCGGGTCTCCGACGCCCCCATGTTCCGCGTTGCCCCCTTGTGGTCAGTACACGTCATAGTGAGCGGTTGAACTCCTGGTCTCCCAGTTAAACTCCAGCGGAGGGGACAATTTGCATATTAGGCTTTTATTATATAGGACTAGAGGCCCAGTGCATGAAAATTCATGCATTGGGGTGGGGGTCCCTTTGCCCGGCCTGCCCCCTCTCACAGTCCAGGAGCCCTCAGGGGATGTCCTACTGATGGCTTAGGCCCGCTCCCCATAGTCTGGCCTCCCTCTGCGGGAGGTGACTGGGCTGATCAGGGGAAGGCGCCGCCCCATCACCCTGCTGCTGCTGCCACTGCTGGCCACTGCAGCTGCAAGGCCTGAGCCCAGGACCTTGCAGCCACTGTGGCTTTGTCCAGATGGACGTATACCCTAATTAGCATATTACGCTTTTATTAGTATAGATATGCATAACCCTTGGACACAGATAATAGTGTAGTGAAGGCCTGGGGAGGGGGTGGAAGCAGGGAGGAGGGGGTCAATGGGGGATAAAGGGGAAGGGCATCTGTAATACTTTTTTTTGTTTTGTTAATCCTCACTGGATATTTTTTCATTGATTTTTTAAAATATATTTTTTATTGATTTCAGAGAGGAAGGGAGAGGGAGAGAGAAACATCAATGATGAGAGAGAATCATCAATCAGCTGCCTCCTGCATGCCCCCTACTGGGGGTCGAGCCTGCAACCTGGGCATGCGCCCCTGACGTCGGAAGTTGAACCCAACCCCTTCAGTCCGCAGGCCAATGCTCTATCCACTGAGCCAAACCAGCAAGGGTTCCATTGATTTTTTAAGAGAGAATGGAAGGGAGGGGGAGAGACAGAGAGCCAAACATCAATGTGTCTCTCCAATGGGTTGCCTCCTGCACGCCGAGGATCCCCAACCTAGGTATGTGCCCTTCGACGGGATTCCAAACCCCTGCCCTTCAGTCCGCAGGGCGATGCTCTAACCACTGAAAAACCGGCTAGAGCTGTAATACTTTCAACAACAAAGATTAAACAAAAAAAAAAAGAGAAGCATGTGAACTCTACATTGTAGAGCGTAGAGACAATGGTGATGGCCGGTGTAGTTCTTTTTTGGCTATGGCGGATCTTTGTCGTGACCTGTATTAAAACCGGATTCCTGCGGGGAGGCCAACAAAACAACCTGCAGCCCCGCGCCGCCTTCACCTCTGCACTTCTACGCGAGCACCGCGGACGACGCCACAACCTTCTCTGGCCAGAAGGGGGCACGATCCTCGGCTTTTCCGGACCGGAATTTTCGTGTCCCTCATGATGCCCGGGCGGGCGCTTTAGCAGGGCGGACCCGTGGGCGGGACAGAGCGCGGAGGAAGGTATTAAAGAACGGACGCTTCCGGTGAAGGGGAGCTGTGGCTGGGCTTGCTGGGATCATGGCGGAGAATCACTGCGAGCTTCTACAGCCGGCTCCGGGCGGCTTCGGGGC